TTTGTTGACACTCTCAAACGGGCACTTTATCAGCCCAGGTGTGAGGGACGAACGGAAGAGATTTTACAAAGGTTCCTGCTAGCGTATCGAGCGACGCCAAACCCCAACTCACCTGATGGAGTATCACCAGCAAAAGCACTGCTCTGAAGGGGGCTCCAAGCACCGCATGACACTATCGGGCCCCAAACAAGCAGACTGGTCACCGCAACACCAGAATGGAGGAACAGTTCAACCGGCAACATGGAGCAACTGCGCGCGCATTCAGCGAAGGCCAAAATGTGTTGGTTCGTGACTACAGCGGCAGACGCCCTACATGGAGCCCAGAACTCATCCCCCGTCGGCGCTGCAAAGTGCTCTACGAGATTCAGGTTTGTCCAGCCAAGTGAGTACGCACGCGAACCAAATCCGGCCCACAGATGCGCCGATCCTGCCCACAGGACCGAGTGATATGAGTCTAGAAAAGCTTCTGGACACTTTTGATCTCGGCACCATCCCAGAAAGTCAATCAGTCGCTTCGCCAGAGGCCCAGCTTGAGCACGGATTACAACCGCGACGCTGGACAGATAGGATCCGCAAGCCAGTGAGGCCACTGCATGTGAACCCCCGGCTTCGAAACTACGTCAACAAACTTCAAGCGGGAGGTGTTAGGCAGGAATCCACGCGGGTCCTACTAACCGCACGTCTTTAGGCGCTGCTACGGCCAAAAAGCCTGGCCCGCTCGAGGTTGGCCTAGAATTCGGGATGCTTGCCAGTCCGGCATCAAGGCGAGATCTGATTGGTCAACCATCTGGACCCAACTGCCAATCATGACCCAGTATTGGCCAAATGCCGGTTGCCAATGGCGCATCCAGAACGCGTCAGAAATTCCAGAAAATTATAATCGCCTACGCTATATATACGAAGCGCTGTACAACTGTTCTTGATTTCGTTTTGGGCGTTAATAGACCTTGTGCACCTTTGGTGGTTGTTTTGACGTGAACACTAGCTTGGGAGGATCAGACCGAGAACTATGCTGAGGAAAATACCGTCATCACACCTAGAGCCAGTCGATCGTATCTCTTGGTATAGAGCACAGCTGTCTCTGGCAACAAAAGCCTTCTTCATCTCCCGAGCTTTCGATGTTCACCAGAGCTATTGGTCTTTTCTTGAGTCTTCAGTATGTGACGTTTGAGGGACTTGCGTACGCCGTCACACTCGTTGCCTGTGGGTATGGATTTCCCGGCATCCATCATGGGTAGTGATCTCTTCGACATCCAGTGGTCTTGTGGTCAAATCGGAGAGGCCTGACAGACAGCACTGAATGCCGCTAAGACAGCTCCTTTCACATTTTGCCATGATTCATCCACATGCTGCGTCACGAAGGTATTGGCTCACCGTGGAGAGTAGTTCGGCTAGCTCAGATAGATACTGTTGAGCTACGACTGTTCACTGGGATCCACTCCAGCAGAGCGCGTTCAACTGTGAGCCTGAGTGCAACCCTCACGCCATACATTCCACGGGTCATCGCTCCTGGGTCGCCGGACACACGGAGGGAGAAATGTGAATGCGATGAGTTCCCCCTTGAGATACATACTCAGGCTTGGGTTTTGTATGTGTGTTCCGGAGACACAGCATACATCAATTTTAAGTGAGTATAAGGTTTCAGCAAGCATTGGCTGTTTGCCGATTTGACATAGAGTACAGACGTTGAAAGCTCCTATATGGAAAGGATTTCGTGGATTTAGAAGGGTGTTGTTTTGTTACTGTTAACAGCTAGCGAGTACAATAAGGCCCTTTGATAATATAACTGGCAGTCAAGTGACCCGATGAAGGTTGTTTGTGTGATGGGAAGCGATTGGGGAGGGACATCGGTGGACACCAAGCTGCGCGGGCGAATGATACTTCCCGGTTACCCAGGCCGAGGAAGGGGCTTTGGTTGAGGTACCTCACCTTGAGCCTTTGACTCAAAAGTCTGACCCACAAGGCAGTGGGAGGATATAGGGTTTTGTTCGGAGACCCTGCCCCTGGCCTCTGACTTAAAACTCTGACCCACGAGGTAGTGGGAGAATGTAGGATTTTGTTCAGGGAACCTACCCCTAGCATCTGACTCAAAAGTCTGACCCACGAGGCAGGGGACAATAGGGTTTTTGTTTAGGAATCCTCCCTGGAGCCGATTGCTCAACAGTCTGACCTGCTCGGCTGCAGGTTGTTGGGACAATCCAATGGCGCAAAAAATAAGGCATTACAGTCTCATTCCTGATGCGGCTGTGCACAGCAAATGCCTTTTGAGCAGCACCGAACTCTGGTTTTAAAAGTACCTCGATCGCATCGGATAATGCGCCGGCTGGCACGGTCAACCATTGGGCGATCGGAGCGTGAGGTTTTTGGGGCCAACCTTTTCTAAATCATCCTTCCTCGGGAGAAGGCTGTGTCGCTTCTTCCATAAATATGGATATCCTGGTCACCTGGGGGAAACACCTTATTGCCTTCACACTCCCGTTGCAGAGGACAGTACGACTTTACCCTCGATTGTACCTGTCGAAAGCCCTACATTCTCCCACTGCCCCTTCGTCCACCTGGGCTAGTGAGAATCATTACTTATCCACACTTATGTTCTTCTCGAAACCCTTCCCACCACACAGACAAAGGCTGTTGAACTGTCAGTTACGTCATCATCATCATCAACGACAGCATGACATCAGTGTTCAACACCAATGCTTCACTGCCGTACAACCATGGCTTATTTGAAAGCCTTATTGTAAAGAAAAGAATAAAGATGGATGGGGGAGGGACTTAGTGCTAGCTTAACACAATCATTCCGAGGTGCCTACACCTCCAGACATTCACTCAGGCAATCTGGATAAAAATTGACAACAGGAACGCCACTGACATCGGTTGGCAGTCATATCTTGTAGTGTCTCCAACCAGGCACAGTGAGGATCACGCGGTCTCCATCCTGGAAGGCGAGTAGCACCGACAGCACCCAAGCGTTTCGTGATCTCCTTCATACTCCTCTGCCAGGTCATCGGTTGGCCACCTCTCTGTTTACGCCACTCCGAATTGGGCACGGAAAACAGTACTGTCTTCGGCAAACGATGGTTCGGCATGCGTAAAACATGTCCCAACCAACGCAGCTTCTGGTGCTGGACACATTCTTCAAT